ACTTAAATATACTTAAAAATACTTAAAAATTAAAAGGAAAAAAACGTATAAATAATATAAATATTATATATAATGCATAAAAATATAAACATATATTACATTTGTCATATATGTATGTTTAATACACTATCGATACATGTTTACAAAAATAATAATCTTTAACAAAATGTTAAAACATTCTCTCAATTTTCACTGCTTCTTGATTTCTTCTTTGCTTTTGCTTGATTAATATTTAATCAATTTGATAGATATAAGTATTTATGTGCTGAATTACAAATATTAATTGACTAACAAAAAAATAAAAGGTTATGTAGATATTTGCTGCAAAATTATTAATATTATATCTTTATATTATTGTCAGATTAATTATATATATGTCAACATGCCAAATCATAATATTAACCTGTTCCTATTGTTTAATTTACCTTTCGATAACATCATTATAAGATAATGAAAGTGAATCGACATCAGAAACCTTTTTGATTATTTTATTTGACATAGCGTAGGCTTTTCTTCAAAAGTCATGCACAACAATAGAAAAATATTAAATTTCATGATTAACTGATAGACACACATGCACTGTATAGTCATACTACATATATTTTAAGAGTGACATCTATTACATTAAGAGTTCGAATTAGTTTAGTACATATATTATTTGTCAATTGTTATTTGTATATACATAAAAACACTTATATACAGATCGGTAAATGTATATAAACATTTAATAAATAAAAAAAATGTATAAAGACCTACTTACATTATAATTTACATGTTTTTTGTTGTTTCGCCACAAAGAAAGGAATATAAGTGATTCCACACGATCACATTTTAAAATAATAAAAATGAAACAGCTTATGACTACTAAAATTACTTATTCAATTTATTGTCATTACGAGCACTATTAAATTCATAAAAAATTTGATAACTCTATGTGGGTTAGTACGTAATATTGGTATGTAATAATTTATAAGTTACACAATGTGTAAAATTTTAACAATAAAACAATATAATTAGGAAAAGTGCATAGCATATATTTCTTCTTATACCGACATAATTTTTCTAGGTATTAAATATTGAGAAATAGAAATTATTGTGAAAATAATTCTCGTGGCTTAAGTTCTGTCTCTTGGAAATCAGCCTAGAGGTACATATAAGATGGACGCACTGGGAAATAGCTACTAGCGACCTTTTGTGTCCTTCAAACATCAGTTTCTTGAAAGCTGTGGTCGTGTTGGTTTGGGCCCTACGGACATTTCATTCAGTCGTTGGTTTTTTGTCTCGTTAAATTTAGTTTGGCAACCATTTCGAAAAGGTAACAGCTAAAATAAATTAGTTTGATAAAGTAGTACACGGAACAATGCAAATTTCGACTTCGTTTTGATGGTTATAACCTTAAGAATGTATGAGTATTATACTTTAATACGTTGTATCAGTAATAGTCTTAATTTTTATGTCTGTTCTTTATTTAACAAGACTTTTGCTTGAATTTTATTACAATATGAAATTGTCTCATTAGAAAATATGTAGTTTTATGATGAATTTACATATATGAAATACACCATGTTGACCTTGAAATAATAATGAT